CAGGAACAGTGGATAGAAGCTCGGGAACAACCTTAATGAGTTTGGCGGGATTGCTTTTAAGTTTTGTTCACATGCCGTTTTTGTTATGAAGTTCTACACATAAAATGTAATTGACGTTCATAATCAAATGCCAAGTGCTTTGTTTTTTATCCGAATTATAAATTGCTGTTTTGTTACGACCTTTAGAACTCGAAGGAACCATTAACTTATGGGCTCTATATTATGGTATTATTTTAGTGGGATTCAGCACCTAAAATAACCATTCACAACTGTTTGTGCTGCCCTTCTTCACTCCCCTTCTCACCCTGTCTGGTGCCTCTCCACGCAACTAAACGCTAGTTTTGTGTTTGAGGGACTCACTCCTGCCGTTCAATTGATGCTAACTAAGGGTTGCATGTAAGTGAGAAGGCAACGTGGACATTGCCTTTTAATTGGACGCGCCGACACATTAATCTTTGCATAATGTCTGCATTAATATGAACAAAAATGTTGCTACAAAAGTTATTTTGGCTGCTCCAAAATTGGCATTCGGCTGCTCCGAGAGCTGCTCCAAAATTACTCGGACCAATCACATCACTGACGACCGCGTTGTCATTTCTTGCCTGGTACTTCTCCTACCAGCCGAATGTGTTAATTGCTTCCTCCCATTGTTGGCTGCGTTTTTACCGGTGCCCGTTTATTTATTGATATATGTATTTATTCTTTTTGTTGCGTTCATATATTTGTGCAAGCTCTGTGTTTGGACGACGCCAGCAACCGAGTCCCAAACGCAACTTCAGAGGCAAAAAAAAAAAAAAAAAGAAGCGAGTGAAAGGGAGAGCCTGCCTTGACAGCTAGCGCATGCGCATTAAACGGCGGTCACGCGTCCCGCTCCCGAACAGTGAGCGCGAATCACTCGTTTGACAGGTTAGGCGTAGACGGAATTTGTTTTCGCTTTCTCTCTTCCCCTTCTCTTGTTGTTTTCTTTCTTGTACGCAGTTATTAATACATATATCTTCCTTTTTTTATATATATATAATGTGCGTTTTGTGTGCGGCGAGCTGCGTGCGGTTGCGAACGTCGTCGGCGCTCCCGGCGTCCGGCCTCCCCCCTCGGCGGCTGTCAGCCCACGCTTCCTCACAGGACGCCCCTGTCGCGCTCTCCGGGAAGCCCGGAATTCTGCGTCCCCGTCGCGAACCTCGCCTCTCTCCCCGCGTTGCTCTCTCTGCCGACTGCCTACGCGCTGGGGTGTTCTCTGTGCGGCGGTGCCATTGGATTACCTTTTATCGAAGCTATATTGTGTAGCCACCACTCCGACTAAGCATCTCTCGGCATGAACGGTCGAAGTAGATGCAATATGCGCGTGCCGTCTTTGTGCCATGCTGTTGGTCCTTCCCACTTTCTCCGGCCGAGAAGAACAATTTCGGTGTTGTTTTCTTGCGCAATCAGTAGCACGGCCGCCACAGCGGGCGCTGTTCTTACGCGAGTGCATGGCAAGTATAGATGGCACACAGTTCAAAAGTATGGCTCCCAGAAGCAGTCCAGCCTACTATACAGTGTTACCGTACGTATGAAATGTGTTCGAGATAAATAAATTGTTTCTCCCCAGCTCCGCGAAGAACCATCTAAAATGCAAGGTCAGCAAAACGTTTTAGGCTAGCGATGAGCTCGCAGGAGCCGACGCTTGGCCGTCATCGAACGTTCCCTGCACGTGCCCGCTTGCCTGTGCGCGATGGACGGAAGGGGCACGGCCGGGCCTCATATCGGTTCGTGGCGACGTGCTCCACGCGCATCCTACGTTCCCGCGCAAATCTTTTCCCAAAGCGGGACACTCGCATTCCGGGCGCGCGCCGGGTGGGCGGAAGGCGCGTGCCTCGGAGAGCTCTCTCTGATCTGGGGCGCGTCGAGATGCGCGAGAGTCCCTTTGCGAGAGCACGCTGTGCAGCCTCCCGACTCGCTGCGTTTCACCTTACGATGGACCAGGGAAGACGCTAAGAACCATCCAAGCCAATCCAATGCCGCGTGACTTTCACTTGACCTTAGGGAAGGGGCAGCGGCGCCCGGGGCACGTGGTCACGTGGTGTGTCCGCGGCGTTAAATTGGCTGGGATGGCCCGTAGCGCCCGCTGCGGCCCGTCGTATAAGGTAAAACGGAGTCGGTATACGGTTTGCGTGAGACGTAGGCGAAATTCCGGCGAGGGGCTCGCGGTACTTGCTTGCGTCTGCCCGTGAACGCGATTTAATTTGACTGTCCATAGCGGTGCTTCATTTAGTCTACAATCACGGTTTAATGCGTTACTTTTCCCGCCTGGTCCGGCGTCCGAGTCCCTCGATGACGGCTGGCTATAGGACTATGCCCGCACGTTTGGCACCGGGCTCTCCGCCCGAGCTCTGGCTCCGGTCCCGCACCTGACGGCACTCGGGGCACTCCCCGAGACGTGCTCGGCCCTCCCCGGCTCCGCCGTGGCCCTGCCCAGTTTCCATTTCCACTTGGGCGGGCCCCCGATCTCGATGCCCGTGGCAGCTGCTCTGCCAGAAACACACTCGCTTTCTGTCTTGTTTCTCTTCATACCGCCTCGTCCCTTGTTATGTATCTGCGCTGCTTCGTTGTCCTCGCGGCACTTTCGCTCGGCACGCCCAAGCATCGGCCGTCCTCTCCGCACATTGGCCTCCTTTCCCCCTTACCCCTCTTTCTCTTCGGAGTGTGCGGCTTGGTGCGGCACGAGCTGTTTGTTTTCTGCCCCGAACGCCCGATGGAAGCAAGCACTACCGTGCTTCGTTCGCTCCTGAGCCAGACAGTGGGTTAGAAGCTACGTTCCCCTTGGGCCAGTCGTACGCTTACATTTCGCCTCGTGATCACGCTTCCGCTTAACCTACTCGTATAGAGAGCGTGGTCATGTGATGAAAAGAAGGCGGTCGATTGGTCCGGCGACCGTGTAGCTACCACCATGCTGTCAGCTTGGAGGGAGTAGGGTGCGTGGGCATGCAGGTAGCTTGGCTCGCTCGGCTCCTCCGTGTTTGTGCGGTTTCGGGCGGTGCTGGGGGATATTTCGGATGGACCCCCGACGTTCAGCGTGAGGAGGCGACCGCTCACGGCGCCTTCGCACCGTAGACGTGATCGATGAACACGAGAGGTGTGTGACGCGGCTCTCCGTTTAGCTTTCGCTTTTTTTCTTGTTTTTTTTTTCTTGCGTTTGTGATGGTTTTTTTTTTTGTTGTTGTTTTTTCTCCAACATTTCTGCTCATGGCCCACCACGTATAGTGCTCCGAGTGTATAGCAGAGGCCGGTGCTAGACATGGCGAATCACACAGCATGGTCGGCTTTGGGGGGGGCGTCTCGAAAGGCTACCATGGTCTTGCACAAGCTGGCACACGGGCAAACCGTCACGTGGTCTATATTGCGATACGAATGCGAGGATTATTATACATTTAAAAAAAGGAAGGAAAGAGGGGAAAGGGGAGTAATGTTAGAAATCATGATTTCAGGGCATTTAGCGCGGAAGGATGACCGCGTTCACGAACCCCCGAGTCACCATGACAGACTTTTAAACGTCGTGCCGGAAGCGTCGCTGTATGCCCATTCACTGCCGAAACCTTCCCAACTGGCGCTTTATGAAAATGGTGGATTCTTCGGGTGATGCCGGCTCAAACTATAGTTAAGATATATTTTTATTATTTGCGCTGCTAGGAAACAAACAAAAAATTTCAAATAGCGTTGAGATTTTTTTGTTAACATTTTTTAGCGCACGTGGAAAAATTTATTACATACGCACTTTATCATATTGTGACACCTGAGGTTGACGAGTTTTGCTCTACTGTTCGCACCCAAAACATTGTTAATACTGTTCGTGTAGTTTGCTTCGGAGAGAATAACAGTAAAATTTCTGTCTACGTCCAGTACTCTTCCTGAATTACGTATCACCATCGCCTAGTCCGCGCTGCAAGCGGTTGTAGTATATATGGACGGCTTAATTATCCCGCGGGTTTAAGGCATCATACGTCGCGCACCACTGCGAGAACAGTTGTCCGGGTTGTCCGCATTATGACGGTAAAGGGTTCCGGTTGCTTCGAGGGAGGATGATTCTCCGAAATGAGATATATGATTCCAGCGCTTATTATCCCCACGTTACAACGATGTTTACTTTTTTTTTTTCTTCTAAAGCCTCAACAAATGTGCCGCCTGTTATTCGTCGGTTTTAGAAAATACATTTTCGTGTTTTAGCTAGAATAGGCTCGATTCCGAATTGAAAGGCTGAGAAGGAAAATCGGGAAGGCAAATGTGAGGTACGCGCCTTTTAGCGCCTCTGGTCTCAGAGAATGGTTTGATGCATTCGGTTTAAGATATCAAATAAATGTTTACCTGTTCGCGTGCTAAGGCTACCTGGAGTGGGTACTAGAGTAGCGCTCGTGTAAAATAATTTTATATCAGACTTCATTTTTTTTGGTGATTTTTAGGTATGCACCGATTATGTTCTCACCTCATAAAGGACCACTTTGGTTGGTATGTCGGTCACGCCGTTTTTCATAATATGCCATCTCGTCTCATTTGCTTTGTAAAGACATTTCACCTCGGGGTAAGTTTCTTTTTAATCCCGAAGTAAATTTGTGATGGTCGACTTAATAACGAAATGACGCCAGCACTCTATAGCTGTGGGAGAATGCCTTCACTGCCGGAGAGGCTTTACGAACCGCCCTAAATCACACAAATAGAGATTAACTTTGATATATCTGAGTAGGAAATTAAGACAAACAGTTGCGACAAATGAATGAACGGTCGGATCCGTTAACAAAAGTAGCGCAAAGATTTTACCGCCTGGCTGTTACCGAAGCGCTCGTTGCATAGGTGCAAGAAACTTGTGAACTAAGCTTTCGTGACTTTTCATGGTGACGTTTTAGGCTCTTGGTTTTCAATGCGACAATTTGTCGAGACTTCTCGCGACCAGGCGTATGAACGAAGAATGTCTTAAAACATTATTTGGCTTCGGATGTCGCTGACGGTTTTCCTCCGTTTGTGTTTTGCAGAAGGATTACGGGAGTACTTCAGCAAGTTCGGGGACATCACAGAGGTCATGGTCATGAAGGATCCAACGACACGGCGCTCTCGGTGAGTCAACGTTTTTTGTTGTACGCGGTTCGGCCTGCCGCTGAAACAAAGAAACACGCACACCGACCAAACAACGAAGCTAACTTGACCCGGTTTGAATGTTTTCATTGAGAGCGCCAAAGGGTTGAGCTCCTTTTCCCATCGTTCTGAACAAGACCTGCATAATTCCACTTAGGAAAGCTGCCTGATTCGAATCTTGACTGTCCCGAGATATATACCTAAAATCAATAAAACTACCAACTACCATTGAAAAAAAAAAAAAAATTCTCGCCATGTAAGAACACAGAACCGAAGAAGATTCCCTCTTTGTGTTTCTCCCTTTTTAATGGGAGGGGTATGAATACTTTATTAGTTATAAATGGCGGCTTCTTCACCTATACGCCCGCCAGAACTGCCAAACGAGGTCTTTTTTCCAGATTTGTTTTTTTGTTTATTGTTTTGTTAAAAACGTAATGTGGATTCTCTTGCGTTAAATAATGTAAATGTCCCAATGCCGAAAAGAAGGACGGACGTGTCGTAAAGGAGATTAAACGCTTTGCGGTGGTGCCTATTAACTATTTATCGAAATTAATCGAAAGCTAATGGGCGGGATGTGAAACGGATCAATTTGGGTGGCGGTAAACACGTACCGATTTTTGTAATGTAAAGATGTCCATAAAAGCGCTATGTATGGGCAAATTCATAAACGGCCTTCGTTATGGGCTATACAGGCGTGTTTAAACTGAAAAACGATTGACTTCCTTCAAAAAGAAAAAAAAAAACAAAAAAAAAAACATAACATCGCATAATGGCGATGAGGTGTCGTACATTATATTCGCGCCATTACTTTTATTATGTTCGCAACAACCTGCTTTAAACTTAGTTTATTGCGCTATAAACTTTCCAGGCGTTTGTGCGAGAGAACCTGTCTGAAGATATCTGAATACGACTTGTCTGATTTAGCCTGACAATGCAATGTTTGTTTTTGTAATGCTCATTGCTAGGGCGTGCGAGATTGAGAAGACTTGGTAGGCTATGGTCATTTCAGTGTTTTCGAATTTATCGGGGAAGGCATTGAGGTATTTGGCGTTTGTTTCCTTGGGCGTCCGTCATAGCGGTGATCTGTAAATTTATGTTGAACGTATGCAGATATGGTAATTGTACTTCTCAAAGAACACTTTATTGTAGAGATACACCAGTTGCTCTCCGAGAGTTTGTGGATTCATTGAAACTTTGGTGCGACTCGGACTGCACTGCCACCTTCCTTGGGGTCAAATAAATCCTGGGTAAAAAGAACCCAGGATCCCTTAGTTCAATTCCCACCTCTGCCCGTTTCGATCTGGATGAGCATCGTACCGGCGTGCTGTCGTGTATCACTACTGCATGGTGCACGTTAAAGACCCCAGGCTAGCTGTTGTACTGCACTGGTTGAATTGTTCATCTACAGGGAGTAACTCGTCGCAACTTTGAAATCGTTGACCAACTACACGCTGTATAAATGTCCACACAACCCCTATTATTGGGTCAAATAAAAGCCAAATGTTCCCTGAGCCGTCTTGCTTGTCTGGTGGGAACACTCTCTATAGACGAAAGGAAGGCGCTTTTTTATGCATTTCCTTAAACTCAAATTGGCAAGGCATGTCCGACTGTGAAGAGGAAACTCAAGGTTGCCCTTTCACATCTTGCCGTTCGTCTGGTATGGCTTCCGAGCTCAAATCTTCACACCCGTCGATTCGAATATAAAGGGTTATGCGAATTAGCCAGGCTCGATCTGAAAAGGGGCCGTAAAGATCGGCACCTGCACGTAGCAATCTTAACTTTTGGTCAAAGGTGTATTTCACAGGTCGGTTTTCTTTTTAGTAAAATTACAAAGTGTAGCTCCTTTAATCTAAAAAATAAAGCAAAAAAAAAAAAAAAAAAGCTTGCAAGGGTCAATGGTTGACGGCGACGCAGATGACCAAATCGAGTGGCTGCCGCGTTTGCCGCGCTCATTGATAGATGGCGTCGAGAGCAGCGTCGGAAGGTGTAGCCGACCAGCGAAAAAAAGCAGACGACACGCAGACGAAATCCGTCGGCAGCAAGAGCACCGTCGATATGCAACCGCATTTTTTTCTTCTTCAAGTTTCGCTTTTATTGTCCACATTTATTTTTAACCCAGAAGCACATTACAGAAAGATTACGTTCATTTTAGCAGACCACGGTCGTCGAGAGCAGACTAAATAAACAGGAAGCGCCTTCTATCAAAAAGTGCGCCAAACGCGCCCCGCCACTCGACTCGGTCGCCCAGGTCGCCGTCCGCCGTTAACCCTGGCAAGGTTTTTGGCCCTATTCTTTTACAGGAAGGGAGCTACGCTTTGCAATTAAAGAAAAAAAAAAACGACTTGTGAAATACACTTTTGATGAAAAATTTAGATGGCTAGGTGCAGGCGCCGATATTTACGGCCCATTTTAGATCGAGCCTGGCTATTTCCGACACCATATATATACATATGTGGGCCGATCTACTACCTGGTCTTGCAGTGAAAACAGAAAGCACGTCCTATGCGCCGAGAAAGTGCGGGAGAGGAGGAGATGAGAGGGGACGTCAGAACGCCGAGCTGTGATTGGATAGATTAGGGGGTAGACCTAAAGCTAGATGCCTTTGTCTCCACTGCCTGCACTCGTTGGACTGTTCAGAACGCGGAACGGAGACATCCGGCATTTGGCTCTCTCATTCGAACGCGTTTGACGAGTGCAGTGGAGACGAAGGCCTTTAGGTCTACCCACTGATCATTCGAATCAGAGCTCGGGGTTTCTGACATACCCGCGTGCTCTCGTATCCTACTCTCCCTCACTTCCTCGGCGTATTGCGGGAGTAATTCACCTTACGCTTTTTAAACGTCTTTACAAGAAATAAAACTGCCAGCGGTGAGACCGTGGAGATAATTTTTTTAGGGTGCGTGGGCTCCTGTCATACGTTGGAATGTTGTCACCGGAATTTAAAACTTCTTGGTTATACGGAAATTTGTTCCGCGGCAGCTGTGAACTTTTTTTTTTATAGGTGTATGTTTTTTTTTTTTTTGTCTGAAATTCACGCGCAGTTTTTCCGTGTGTAAGCATATCTGACGAGCACTGACCTTGATACACAATTCTTCACTGACCCCTCTTGGTTTGCATGCTCTGCCCTTCAACAACAACAATAACAACGTCGTGTTACGAACAATTAATGTAAGCAGCGTACAAAGCAGATCGGTTGGCCCCGGAGCCGCGAAACCATTGCACTCAACTTGTCACACGCGTACGGCATGCACAGGAAACGAACACAGAAGAATGTGACGGTCGCAAGAAGGTTCCAACGTTACCCACACTTCTCTTCCGTAGTCTCACCTGTTACAAAGTACAGGCAGTGAGACGAGACGGCGCCGTACGGCTCTCAGAATGAACAAAACGAACGACTCAACGAAAGAATGAATACGCCATACAAAACAAAGTACCTACTCCACAGACGCAGACACGCCGAGAGAGAGATAGAGAGAGAGAGAGAGAGAAAGGAGCAAGTGGACAAGCGAGCAAGCTAACGAATGAAACTTGTCATCCGGATGACAGACGATCTAATGTAGGCGGTCCGCTGAGCCAGCGCCGCCGCGGTTACACGTTCGCGATTAATGGGGAGAACAGGCGTCGGAACGGTTCTCGGGACAATAAATAAAAAAAGAAAAAGGAAGAAAGGGAGGACAGGATGGGAACAGGTAGTAGCTGCCATGTAGAAGGAACGAAGAGGCAGAGTTCTTCCCGAATCTGCCGTCGTCTGCCGTCTTGTATAGTCTTACGATAGGCCGCAGAAGACGCTACGAACGATCCAAGCCAATCCAATGCAACTTGAGTGTTACGTGACCTTCGGTAGGGGCGCGGTGAGGCACGGGGCGCTTAGTCACATGATACGCGTTCATAGCTCTGGATTGGCTGGGATATGTCTCGTAGCGTCTTCTTTGGGCAATCTTTAAGGCGAAACAGTGTGTAGACTGAGCTGCATCGAGCGAGTAAGGTAGACCCTGCGAGCGGTACAGCCGAACAATCAAGGTGAGCTCGTGTTTCCCCCTTGGGCTTTTCGTTCGTCAAACGTATTTCCTAAACGGAGTCTCGTCGATGCGTCGGTCGCGTTGCGCGTCGTCGCCCTCGGAGGAAAAACACGGCGGCCACCGAACGTCGCTCATTTCGAATGCTAATACGCTGACGGGTGGCAGATGCGCCTTCTTTCGTTTCTCCCGTTCTCTCCGTTCTTCTTCTTTGCTACTTGTTCTCTCTCATCCTTCAAGATGCGTTCCGTTCCGTCTGCGTCTCCCTGCAGATTCGCATAATCTCGTGCTTCGCGTCGTCACGCCGTTGCGTCGTCGACGTCGTCCGTCGTGTTGCGGTCCCCGCGGTTATCGCCGCCGTCCATGTAATGCACGTCCGCCCACTTCTGTTTTTTTCTTCTTTTATTTTCTGCTGATTTTTTTTTCTAATGCGTCGTCATCGGAGTTGTTGTTATCGGCGTTCCTTTCCGCCGCGCTCGTCAACGAGCGTTCGCCTTTTCATGTGGCCAGCCGCGCATGGATGCGGAAGGACAGCGCTACTCGCGATAGCGCGGCTTGTGGTCAGCGAACTTTGTCCAGCGGTTCCCCTTTAATTTTTCCGAGGTTCGTGTTGATTCACTCGTGTCGCGCGGATGTTGAACGTCGTGCATTGCCTGGGGAGGCGGGGACGAGCGAGACGTGGGAACAAACGTTGGCGACCGCCTCGCTTGTCGCGGGTTGGGCGGGCATTTTTCGTATGTACCATGTCTTTATACGCTGGTATTTTTATAGCCGGGTTTTCGCGTCTTCTGCTTCCATTTACTTATCTATTTTGGATCTTCTTTTTTCTTAATATGTATTCGTCTGGTAGCTTCGAGCCTAAGTTTGCCTTCTTACCCTACCGAAAAATCCGGTATAACTTTTCGCTGTCCGGATTATGGAACCGGAAATTTATCTGGAATCTATCTGGAATCTATCTGGAATTCA